GTCCCTTCCTGCTAACCCTGTGGACAGACCCACCTCCCAGGCAATAGTAAAGGCACAGAAATCAGTCAGAGCAGCTGCCCCTGCCAGGCTCCATCACAAGCCAATGTCCCCAGGTCACCAGGAGAACAACCTTCCACTGTGTCCCCAGCCAGGGCTCTTTCCTTCTGTGAGGCCAAAAAGTGGGACAGGCCATGGGACAAGGATGGGTGACCCTCCATCTGCTCTCTACACTCCCTCACCAGGGGTCAGAGGAGAAAGACAGGTCTGCAACCCCCAAAGCCACAGGCTCATTTCACCCACGAACTCCTGACTGCAGCCTCGTCCTGGAGTAGGGCTCACATCCTCCATGGTTCCTGGGACAGTTCCAGGTGGAGCTGGCCAGACCGGTGCTGTCTGAGGGGTGACAGCCTGCTCGAAAAACACCTGTGTCCCTTATGATGACACCGATACCAGAAGGTGGGGTCCCTGAGATGGTGAGATGCACGAGCCAGGGTGTCTCACTTAGAATCTGCTCAGTTTGCACAAATTTGACCAAACCCTAGTTGTGTTTCCTGAGGTCAAGAGAAAGGAAGAAAGCATTTCACATGCCTTGTGGGGCTCCTCCACATTTTGCCTAACTCTCCACGGGAATTAGGGACGTGGAACTCTTTCTAAATTTATTACCATCACACATATCACTTCTCCTAATTTGGTATCTTTCTCTTCTTATTACTGTTGAGACACCTCAGACTTCCCTCTGACCAGTTCTGTCCTCCTAACGCCATTCGTGGTCTCTCTGTACCCAGGGAGTCACTGATTCCAAACCGACTTCAGCATCTTCCTTTGAGCGTAATGTGACCTGCTGGACTTCAGAGCTTGGTCCAAGACCTCGTCGTGCTCTCTACAGAAATACTCCTCTCAGCAATTGGCCTTAGATCCTGAGTATTAATAATACTTTTCAGATATGGTAGAAACTTAACTTCTCATTTTCCTATCCCATCTTCCCAATACATGAGGTCCATGAGTCCAGATTCCAGCACGTTCGTGCTCCCCCCTTTGCACCAGTCAGGTCTGCGTTTGCAAACGTCCACATGTGTTTCCGAATGATCCATACACAGTCCTCAACTGCCCTCTGCAGGGGGACAAGGGACATTAAAGACCAACATCAGGGAACATGGTTCTGCTCCAAAGCCACCAGCTCCTACCTGTCCCTCACTGTTTTCTAGATCATTCCTTGGATTCTGCTCTTTTAGGAGTCACTGGCTGATGTCAGTTACCATCAAGCAGCTGGGAAAAACTGCCCCCACCTGTGGCCCCACAGCCTGACTACTGAGCTGATCTCCAGGCTGCCTCCTGCTCTCCCTGCGTTATTTGTGCTCAAACACCCAGTCCCAG